CTAAATAGATAGACAGATACAGCTATATATATACACTTGATAGATAGATAGATGTAAAGAATATATGGAGACAAGATAGATATATAAAGATAAAAAATATAAAGAGATAGATAGATAGATAGATAGATAGATAGATAGATAGATATTAAGACTTGTTAGATTGGAATACTTTTTTTTTATTTACAGAATTTGAATCCCATCCTGAGAGTAATCTCGCTATAAAAATAATCCATGGAAATCCATATTAGGGTTTATGTTCCTTTGTCAGAAATCGATGAGCTTTTATTCAAAGTTAATGAAAAAGGCTGCAGTTTTTATCTCTTGCAAAAGGTCACCCCAAACCAGAAATTTGATTGTACCATATATTCATAACTGTAAGTTTCAAAATATTTTAGTAGATTTATTTTTCAATTCGCTAATGATGTAATTGTATAGTATTTAAGTAGTTTTAACGCATTTAATAGTTTATATATGTAGCCTAATATTCAAATAAGAAAAAACAATTCTAGAAGTTTTCATAAAGTACTAGAATGCGTCTGGAAGTACTAGAAGTCTCTAGGCAGTCATAGTACTACTATACTTGTATAGGATTTTTTTTTAAATTGAAGATTATATTTAAAAAATGAATTAAACCTATCTTTATTAATTTTTATCAATTTTCATCAAATTATGATACAGGAAATTAATTATTTTATAATTAGTCAAAACGTCATAATCCAATATACTAATATGGAAAAGAAATATTTTCAATAATATATGCATCTTATTTTGGAAGACAAATTTTCAGTCGGGCAATCTTGGAGAAGAGGGCGAATAACATTCTGACACGTGCTGAAAAAAGCAGCATTGGAAAAAATGGTCGCGAATCCCTGAGATAAATAATGGCGAACATCCTCTGAAGAAATCGATTCTTTTCTGAGTGGCAAAATATCGCTACTTCCATTCATTGTTTGGTTCTTGGTTGGACTAGCAGACAACAGATTATTTTGTGTCGAGTCACATAATAAGATTTTAAAGTTCTTTTAGATGAACTTTCGCTTGTTACACATTTTCTAAAGATACCCTACCTCTACGAGAATTAGGATGAGTTTTCAGAAAGGCCAGGGTTTTTTTTGTTTTTTTTTTTTAGTAAATTTTCATCCTGTGTTCAAATCAAGCATTTTGGCGCAGCATAAATCTAGAACGATTTCTCCTTCCATTTATTGAACTGAATTTCTTTTTGTAAAAACAATACAAAATAGTAGTCAAGCCTATGATTCCGTCCTTTCAGACTTCATCGGATTAAACTTATGTTTACTTTCATGCCACTACACATGCGCACGAAGGAAAGGGGACATAGATATTTCAACAAACATAATTGGAGGAATTTCAATGAGTCAATGTTAAAGCAAACCCATATCTCTCAGAGAATGTAATATATATTTATATATATATATATATATATATATATATATAATAAGAGGGAAATTTAAAAGGGAGAACAAAGAAATAATTGTGCGAAAAGGAGACGCTACATGTAGAAAGGAAGAAAGTTTTAAGATTTAAGTTAGAATTAGAAAGAAAGAAAGAAAGAAAGAAAGAAAGAAAGAAAGAGAGAAATACCGCATGAAAAATAAGCTGGGTGAATAAGAAGGAAAGATAAAACAAAGAACAAACAAAAAAGTTAAACGGATTAGTTATATGTATAAAGAACACAGGTTTAAGTTGGTTTTAGGAACATAGACAGAAACAAACTTTAAGCTAAAATAAGAAAGAGAGAATGAAAGAAAGAAAAATAGCTTATAAAAATATAAACTGGTTGAATAAAAAGGAAACTTAATACAAAATACAAACAAGTTAGTGTGAGACATGTATAATCTACCTGCAAAAATCAAGAAAGAAAGAAATAAGAAAAAGAAAAATTACGTATGAATAAATAAGCTTGGTGAATAGAAGGAAAGTTAAAACTACGATCAAAAATTTTCTTTCTTTTTTTTCTTTCGGTGTTCTTTCTTTCTTCCTCCGCCAACTTAAATTTCGATGTACTTTCTTTCTTTCTTTCTTTCTTTCTTTCTTTCTTTCTTTCTTTCTGTTTTCTTTCTTTCTTCCTCCGCCAACTTAAATTTCGATGTTCTTCTTTCTTTTCTTTCTTTCTTTCTTTCTTTCTTTCTGTTTTCTTTCTTTCTGCCTCCGCCAACTTAAATTTCGATGTTCTTTCTTTCTTTCTTTCTTTCTTTCTTTCTTTCTTTCTTTCTGTTTTCTTTCTTTCTGCCTCCGCCAACTTAAATTTCGATGTTCTTTCTTTCTTTCTTCTTTTCTTTCTTTCTTTCTTTCTTTCTTTCTTTTTTAATACAGCTTAAACTTTGTTTCTCTCATTCTTTCCTTCCTTGTTTCTTTTTTTTTCTTTCTGCGAGTAATTTTAACCTTTATTTGTTTGTTCTTCGTTTTACTATACTTTATTATTCACCAAACTCATTTTTTTATATGTTATTTTCTCAAGCGAGATTAACAAGAAAGAAAGAAAATACGTTTAACCTAATAAATAATAAGGAATGAAAAAGAAAGAAAGAAAGAAAGAAGGAAAGAGTGAAAGAAAAAATAGCGTATGAAAAAATAAGTTAGGTGAATAAAATGGAAATATAAGACAAAAACAAATTGGTTTGAGAAAATGATAAGTTATATGGAGAAAGAATAAAAAATAAGTCAAGAATAAGAAAGAAAGAATGAATGAAAGAAAATAGCATATGAAAAATATCAGCTAAGGAAATAATAAAGAAGGGTAAAACAAAGAACAGACAAATAAGTGGAAAAGAAATAAAATGAAAGAAAGAAAGTAACGAATTGAAAGAAAGAATGGAAGGAAGAATGATAGAAAGAACAAAATCAAACAAGAAAGAAAGAAAGAAAGAAAGAAAGAAAGAAAGTTAAAGCTGGATTAAGAAAAAATAAATAAATAAATATGTTTCAAGGTAGGCTAACAAAAAAGAAAGAAAGAAAGAAGAAAAGAAAGAAAGAAAAATAGCGTATGAAAAAATAAGCTTGGTGAATCAGAAGGAAAAATAAAACAAAGAGAAAACAAATTATAGTGCGAAAAGGATAAGTTACATGTAGAAAGAAAGAAAGAAAGAAAGAAAGAAAGAAAGAAGTCTGATGCTGGGCTAAGAAAGAAAGAAAGAAAGAAAGAAAGAAAAATAGTGTGAGAAAACATAAGCTAGGTGAATCAGAAAGAAAGATAAAATAAAAAGAAAAATCAAACAAATTAGAGTGTGAAAAGGATAAAGCAGATGTAGAAAGGAAGAATAAAGGATAATCCGTAAAAATGAGTTGTCAAAAAAATATTTTAAAAAAGATGAAATAATTCCAATAAAATTCAACGATATCGAGCCGAATATTTAGGAGTGTTGTCCTAAGAAAGAATCGTTATCACTGAAACATATAAAAATGAAATATTATTTGGAGAAATTTTTTTTCTTTTTCATTGGTTCATCCAAGGCCATATCCATAGCAACAACAGAAATCTTACATTGCTCAAGCAGGTGGGTGTATTACACATGCCCACGATCAAGCGTTTTCCCCCGCTTCGTTCTTATTGCAAGCTTTAGAAATGCGACATTTGTGCATTTATAAGCCTTATAGAATTCCTTCAGCTGTAATTTTATATTTCTGTTTTCTCTTTATGTTTCCTCTTGCGCCTGATTTGATATTAAACTTGATTATGTCCCCTTATTGCATAAGATTCGTCCCCAACTTACAGGTAGAGCTTTTCACAAATATGGTCACCTGTTATCCCTCACAACAGGTATTGTTACTAATTTCACATTTCCAATTGTAATATCTCTATCTATAAAAGGCAGGATGTGTGTGTGTGTGTGTGTGTGTGTGTGTGTGTGTGTGTGTGTGTGTGTGTGTGTGTGTGTGGAATGCACGGGCGCAGTTTTCGACGGATTTGCACCAAAATTTACATGCACATGCTCCAAGTTAGCGGAAAGTCCAAGACCGACTTTGCATTTCCCAACTCCCATCGATAGTGGAAATAATCGATTTTTTCATGCTTATACGGCAGTTTTCATGTAGTTTGCGGCCATTTTGTACTGGCCATAGTGAGAGCCTATACCTGGCTGCCACGAATAGGTAGGAAGATTCTATTGACCAGCGTGAGAGCCAACAACTGACTGACACGAATGTTAACTAGCATGCAAAATATCAACAGCTGCATTCGTCACAAGTTGGAAAAATTTAAATCTGCATGGCACTTTACTCCAATTGTCTCATTCGCTTGCTTAAACTCAACATTGATTCTGATTCCGCAGAACTGGGTTGGGTGTGAAAAAGTATTTGTTGTTAACATTCTTTTTTCATTCGGTTTTTCCTAGTTACGAGTCCTATTTTTAAAGCTGATCGTTTTGTGTTCATTTTGTTTAGTTCTTTTTTCGTAACAGATTTAATGTTTAGTATAGAGCTTCGAAAAAATTCGCAATTTGAGATAGGCAAGAAGTAAGGCATGTAGCAACATCAGCACGGCAAAGGGCACTCCTTTAAACGCAAGGAAGGGCAAAAATTATTCTATGTCAAGTGATAGCGATTGCTGTATGAGTCATACGATTTTTTGCATCAAGCACGGGCAACGCCGGGCCATGCTGCTAGACTAGCAATAAATATAATAGTTATTTTATACGAATAAATCTGGGACGCCATCATGAAGAAGACTACAGTATAATCCTAGTATCAGCTTTACATGTTTTTGTAGTTTTGCTTTCATTGATTGATTTTTACGGATCATCAACACATTATTTAAAACCAGAAACTATTATTAGGTTATAAGAATTTCATGGAGATAATAATGATTTGGTGATAGCAGTCCTGGTAATTAACACATAGCTGGGGAAGGAAGTGGTGAATTCATACTTTTCACAAGCGTATTTTAGCATGATTGATTATAAGTGACCCAACTTGAATTGGAATTCGACTGTGAGATTTCTAATTTCGAGACTTTATCCATAAAGCCATCCGTAAATCCAACCTTACAGCCGCTGGTATTCCCAAGCGATCACCATCTAGTTACTGAGCAAGCTCGACGTTGCTTAACTTTGGTGATCGCACGAGAATCGGTGCTTTAACGCTATCTGGCGAAAGGCTTTACATTTTTTTAATGATTCATTTTTTACGGCTTATCAACCCTTTGCAGGTTATTTAAAGCAAGGAAATATATTTAGATTGTAAGAGTATTTTAGATAATAAATTGTCTAGTGATACAAGTCGTACTAACCCATATTTGATGCTGGACAAGAAAGAAAGAAAGAAAGAAAGAAAGAATGAAATTTTTTATCTATCTATCTATCTATCTATCTATCCCATAACTGGGGGTAAGAGGTGAACTCATACCATTCCCAAGGGTACTTCATACCTTTCTTGGTATGAGATGTCAGTTCTCTGGTGGATGCGGGAAGCTTTTCGTATTCCGGGCGCACATTTCGTATTTCTTAAGTTTGTGTTTGAGTGAATGTTTGGTAGAATTATTGTTTTCAATTATTTAGTTCCTCGACTGGGGCTGGCACCGTTGAACCGCCGGTTGGGCAACACTCGAGGCCCTCATTCACCCCCCACAACAAAAAATAAAATTACGTGCCGCGTGTCCGGATGGGGAGAAGGAACAGGGAAAATGCAGGTTGTTGGTAATTTCAGGTTGAAGTGTCGGAGAGTGGGGTCTCAGTTCCCGGAAGTTCTCAAAAAGAAAGGGATATAAAGCCATACTCCCTTTATCAATTCCAAGGGCGATGCCCCAGTGAAAATACTGATCGGGGAGATTTCTACAAAATACAAGCTGTTTTCCGGGGAAAAAAAAGAAGAAGAAATTAAAATTGCTCAAGGAGGAACTCTAAGCAAAACCTTAAAATAGGTCTTCGCTGTTGGAGGCGGCGGGATCCTCATCAACTCCTCTGTGGTCCACAACATTCAAAAAATAATTTATCCCTCCACCTATGACAAAATCCGTGTCCAACACTTACTTCCTGTATGTCTTTCATCAAAAAGACACCCTCAAATTCACCATTCCAAACCACTTACGGTCAAATCACGCTGAAAACACCGGTTCTTGTTCGATCACCGAAGTTAAGCATCGTAGAGCCAGGTCAGTACTTAGATGGGGACCGCTTGCGAACACCTGGTACTGTAAGCCCCAAAGTCCAACCCTTACCTCACAGTCGGTGGGGTGTAAACGGTAGTGTCAGAGTTATGCCGCCCGGAACTTCGTTCCTGGTAGGGCCACCAAGGCGGACAGGTCTGACACACACGCCGGCTAACAAGGGCTCTGGTGAAAATCCAAGGAGCGTCTTCGCATCGGTAACCGGCGGCTTCTGGTCGTTCCTGTCTCTGCGTCTGTGGGAACCCCTGGCAAGCAAGAACGTTATCCGAGTAGGCCTGGGTACCCTACTTCTGTAATTTATCCCAAGAATCTTCTTCTCATAACAGGAAGAAGCCGGCTCAATCCGCCCAGGGTGAATGCCGCATCACACACATCCCAAACCACTCACGTCACAATACCTAAAATTACACCCTGGCAACCTCCTCCCCAATCACCACATACCGGGTGTAACATCAAAATTGCCCAAATCGTTTAACAGCATAATTATCCATCATACAAAATGTTTAATATCTCAAAAAAAAAAAAAACAATAAGCTAATTGAGTTTCTTTTTTCCAGGTTTTCAAGGAAGACGCTAAGCGATCATGACATCATATTTCGTAAAAATCACTGAAAAACCCTTTGAGTTATTGTGCTAGAAAGAGAACAGACAAGGATATGATTACCCTCTCCTTAAAAATGCTTGAATAATTTGTCAGCAAACATACAAATACATAAAGAACAGAACATTGACCAAAGAATAAGAAAAAGAGTTACCTTTCAAACTCTTTTCTTCAAATAGAATTTCTGTATTCTTGACCTGAAAAGGAAATGAAAAATCATTTAACTCTCATTTGGCTTTCGTGGGTTATTTAAACTGAAAAAAGCATCGCATTTTTGCTTCTAAATTGTTACATCAACTTATCCATTAACGAATAAAGAGGCCAGACATTTTAAGATCTTTTGTAGTGGAAGTGAGTACAGTTAACTCTCTGGGGTCGAATGGTCTTCGAGTGGGGTATGCTGGAGTCACCATTCGGATCATTTTTTTATCCGGTTTCACATTTGTACATTTGTAACGTTTATGTCCACTTTCTTGGAAAACGTCAAGCGAAAATTCCCATTCAGTTTGCCATTCAAAGGATAGACTCCCATTAAAATGTAATATTGAGAATTAACAATAAATGGATGTGCAAGCACTTTATGCAGACGTGTTCGTACCCATATATATATATATATATATATATATATATATATATATATATATATATATATATATATATAAAAGAAAGAACAGTAAGATATAAAATCCGGTTTTTTATAGATATTTTTATTTTCTCAAAATAGTGCTCAATGTAAATTTACAGAGCATTAATATTATAAATTGATTTATTTAAAATATGTTTATTTTCGCTACACAGTTCTAACCATGTTTCAAAAATGAAAGCTAAAAGCCACGAATTTAATTTTGTAATTAAATTAAAGACATTAGTTCCATTTCATCCTCAAGCGATATATATATATATATATATATATATATATAACGTGAAGGTAATAAATCCGTTGGTATATAATCTAAGTGGATCCTGTAATATAAAATATTAAAACTGATCTACAAAAATATTTTTTATTCTTTAATATAACAATTTTTTTATTCATTGTCTTTTTTTTATTAATTATAATTTTTTTTGAAATATAATCTTATTTAGTTTTAATATAAATTATCTGAAGATAACTTATTTTTAATTTATTAAATATATTTTATTTTTAAGTATAATTTGTCATTTGAAAAATATTTTTAAGTAGGAACTTGTATTTTTATACTTAACTTTATCTATATAATTTAAAAATATTTTTTTTCAGTTATCCCTTAGTTTCAAATTTACACTTCATTCTTCATATAACCCCAACTTAATGTCATAAGGTTAATATCCGGGCTTAAATTTATAAAACCTTTTCCTTTAAAGCTAATAATTCCTTCCAGACTCCCCCCCCCAACTATTCTCTCGTGCTTTTCCTCTCATTGAAACGGATAAATTCTGTATCAATTTTTCGACAGCTGTCACAATTAAATTTCTAATTCCGACACGAACTCAGTCTATACTCCGGGGTTGAATAAGATTGTCGAAGTTTTCGTTCGTTGAAATATGTCTATTCCCCATATGGGAAAATTTTGGATTTTATGGGTTACTACTATATATATATATATATATATATATATATATGTGTGTGTGTGTGTGTGTGTGTGTGTGTGTGTGTGTGTGTGTGTGTGTACACGTGCTGAGACAAGTATTAAGGGTAAATTAAAAGAATAAGGGAAGAAAAAAAAATAAAAATCGTTTTAGCAAGTTTACTTTATTAAGAATGTCTATTACACTTAACACCCGGAAGAGGCAGCTGAAGTTTCTGGGACACATAATGAGGAAGGAGGGCCTAGAGAATCTGATACTCACGTGTCGAATAGAGGGAAAGAGAGACAAGAAAAAACAACGCGTGACATACCTGGCGAGCTTAAGAAAGTAGGTGACAGTATCTGATCTAGGGGAGGAAGAAGAGGGGAGGAACACTAGTTGAAAGCTTCTAGGGATAGAGGGAGATGGAGAACCATGATCGCCTTCGTCCTGAAAGGATATGGCTCATAAAATAAAAAGAAAGAAAAAAATTGTCTATATTACTGGGATGAGGTATTATGTACACTATTTACATTATTCGGACTATTGTCCTCATCTTTGTCGCCATGTTTATCACAACGTTTCGGCCGTTGTACTCTCCGGCCTTCTTCAGGTGGTTGAAATGTCGAACTGAACCCTTTATTTGGCTCACTGAGGTAGACTGTTCTAGTTCCACATGCCATGTCTAATAGATGTCAGTTATCTCCTATTAATTTCCCAATGACACATGACACAGTGGATAAAGGCGTTAGTTAGATCCAGTGACAGGGCCCAAAGAGTGTGAGTTCAATACCTGGTTAAGGCTGTGGAAAACATGGAGTGGTAAATTAACTGGAGATAACTGATAACTGACATCCATTAAACATAGAAAGTGGGGTGGGGCTATTAAATATAACAGTCGAACAGATTTTTCATCTGTCGAACACTCTGCCTTTGGCAGAAAGGAACCCGGACGAACCTTTGCCCTGCGGCAAAGCCTCATCCGGGGATGTAGACAGGACCTGAACCCGTTTATGCGGGTACTAAGGGAATATTTTTGGCCGAGCCTACGGGCTCGGAAAACCCACGGTAAACTCGGCCTTGTGCAACATACATCGCATGTAGGGGACTGTTAAATATAACAGTCGAATAGCCTGGCCAATATCGAACACTCTGCCTCGAGCAGAGAGGAATCCCGACGAGGCTTTGCCGAAGGGTAAAGTTTCGTCTGGGGAGGTAGTAGGGCCTGATGCCTTTTGTACAGGTTCTAAGGGAATATTTTTGGTCGATCCTACGGGCTAGGTGAACCCACGGTAAACTCGGCCTTGTGCCACATACATCCCTCGTGGTGGGGGCTGTTAAATATTAACAGTCGAACAAATCTGTTCGCACTCTGCTAGTCAAACTCTTTGCCTTCGGGTAGAGAGAATCCCGAGACTCTGCCCTTCGGCCTAGCCTCGTCTCGGGAAACAGCGACCTCATCCCGTTTTATACGGGTTCTATGGGGTTTTTTGGCCGAGCCTACGACCTCGGATTGCCACACATTATACTCGGCCTTCTGCTATATCTGACCTCGTGGGGAGGTTGGTAAATATTAACTTTTTTCCCCAATTGATGTCAGAAGCTGTAGAGACAGTAACAGGAAATATTTAATTAGGGTTTTTTTTTATTCGGAGCAGGCAATACCAGCTATTAGCGAATGAGGTTTCCTAAACTTTTACTCAATAGGAACTGTAATTTTCAGAAATGTATTGTTACATAAATCCTAAGAAGATTACCTTAAATCCTACAGAAGGCAGTTAAGAAAAGCGAGAAGAAAGGACTAAGGATCAATTGCAATAACACGAAAT